GGTATATTCACAAGAGTGGTATTGCTGGGTCCAGGGGTAGGTTGATCCCGAATTTTCTGAGAAACCGCCACACTGCTTTCCAGAGTGGTTGCACAAGTTTGCATTCCCATCAGCAATGGATGAGTGTACCCCTTTGTCCACAACCTCTCCAGCAAAGGCTATCATTGGTGCTCTTGATTTTAGCCATTCTGACAGGTGTAAGATGGTATCTTAAAGTTGTCTTGATTTGCATTTCCCTGATCGCTAAGGAAGTTGAGCATGACCTTAGGTGTCTTTTGGAGCCAAGGATCTTGGAGGAAAACTACAACCACAATTTTACCAAATCAGCATAACCACTAATTTCTTTTTAAATATTTATTATTATTATTATTATTATTATTATTATTATTACTATTATTGACAGGGTTTCTCAGTAGCTATGGAGTTAGTCCTGGAACTCATTCTGTAGACCAGGCTGGCCTTGAACTCAGGATCCACCTGTCTCTGCCTCTGCTGGGATTAAAGGTGTGCACCACCTCTGCCGGGTTATCCTTATTCCCACAGATAAATGTAGTCCTCACTCTTCATCCGTGAAAGTTTGTTATGCAACACAAGAACAAACAGTCAGGCAAAATGTAGCCGTGTGCTGTTCACTCCCCACTGACACGTAAACAACACAATTACGGCACCTCAGGCTCAGGGATCACTGAGAAAGTGGGGTGGGAATGTTTTAAGAGCCAGACGAAAAGTATATTTGCTGTGAGACTGTGTCTCTTAGAAGAGTCAGAGAAGCTACATGCATGAACTTGTACAAACATGGCTGCCTAAACATGAGCAAAACAAGGACAACACCAAGAGACATGCTAACATGGAAAGAGAAGGCTCACTAGGCCTCAACCCTAGTCAAACACGAAGGAATTCTGAGAGCTGGAGAAATAGTCTCCCCCAGAGAAGAGTGCACCATATGATTATCCAATACCAAATCTTCATCCCTGAAAACACAGACTGAGTAGGTTCTATTTTTATGTTTAGGAATACACACAAACATACAGCAACAATGAAAGGAAAAGTTACTAATGAATAATAAATGTCTGTGTATCACCGAATCTTCATCCAGTAACCGAAGGAAGCAGATGCATAGCCCCACAGCTAAGCAATGAGCCAAGCTCCTGGAGTCCAGTCGTAGAGAGGGAGGAGTGATAATATGAGCAAAGGGGTCAAGACCATGATGGAGAAACCCACAGAAACAGCTGACCCAAGCTAATGGGAGTTTACTGACTCCAGACTGACAGCTGGGGAACCTGTACAGGATTGAACTCGGCCCGATGGATGTGGGTGACAGGCTTGGGCAGTTTACGGGGACACTGGCAATGGAACCAGGATTCATCCCTAGTATATGACCTAGTTTTTTGGAGCCCATTCCGTATGGAGGGATACCTGGCTCAACCTAGATACAGGGGGAAGGGTCTTGGTCCTGCCTCAAATGGTGTGACAGACTTTGTTGACTCAGCATGGGAGGCCTCAAACTCTCTGAGGAGTAGATGGGCCTGGGATGGGGGGAAAGTGAGAGGAGCAGGAGGAGGAGAGGGAGAGGGAACTGGAATTGGTATGTAAAATAAAATGATTGTTTTTTTAAAAATTTAAAAAACAACAATAAAGGGAAGATTTTGTATCATTTAGATTAAAAAATTCTCTATTATCACTACTCACATAATTAGACTTAATAGAGGGCTAGAAAGAAGGCCCAATGGTTACAAGCACCTGTTGATTTTGCAGAGAACCAGGTTCAAATCCCAGACCCCACACAATAGCTCCCATCTCTCATAACTACAATTCTAGGATCCACATAAGTCACACACACAAGCAAACACCTGTATACATATATTTTATGAACCGAAATAAAAATGAGTACTAAATAATTAGAGAGAGAGAGAGAGAGAGAGAACTCCTAGAATTAACTTACAAAACAGATGAAAGGTCCCAATTTGAAAACTTTGCTGAAAAAACTAAAGATGCTAACTAGACATAATTGTGAAATTCTCAGTATTTCTGGAAGTGGTTTATATGATCAGCTCAAACTTCAGGACATTTAAACGTCCTCAACCCTAGTCAAACACAGAAATAGCAAGAGAAACCTAAAATTCGTACTGATGCACAAATTCTCCAGGTACAGAGCAGCCCCAAGATAATTTTACAATGCTGGAGCTAGCCACCTGTGATTCCAGATGACATTACAGAGAGCCACATAACCAACAGCATTATGGGAGTGGAGAAGACACACATTTCAATGTATTAGAGCAGTAGTTCCAGAAAATGGCCAAAAGCAATGATCCTGTCAATGTCTCCAAAGTACCACAAACACATGTAGCAGACTAGATGGCCTCTTTAAACAGAGGTATTGGGAAAAGTTATCTATCTGCATATAGAAACAAGGACCTGAGTTCAAATCTCTCCTACCATGCAAGAAATCAGAGCCTTCATATATGATCTGAAACAGTGAATTCTACAGAGCAACACAAAGGGGCAAACTTTTAAACAAGAGCAGGAACTGACAAATAGTATTATGTAATATTAAAAACATCCAGGGAAATTGTAATAATTAAAGTTTGAAGAGACAGCCTACACAGCAGATATGTTTATTAGCTGCCTATTTATACTACAATGGATAAAAACACAGAATCAAAAAAAATTACAAAGAAAGCAAATGATAATATGACTGACTGGTAAATAAACAAATGGATTGAACACACCATGCTCAACAGCAGTTGAAATGGCCAATTTACTTAAAGTACATATTAAAAAGTTCTATATTGTAGGTCATAAATAATGTAAATTAAATATGAAGAAGTTCTAATTCTCTATTTAGTGTCCATATTCTCGAGTTCCTAAACTATAATGTATTTCTTTCACTAATTTCTTGAAATGTAAATGTATACTATTCAAACAAATAATGTAAAGACTATAGCATTCAAAAAAGAGATATGACAGCTGAAATTAAAACATACTTTCCACCAAAGATTTATTACATGTCTAACCAAAGATTTATTTCATATCTAAAGATCTAAGATACAGAGGAAAAAGGAATTTTTTTAATGTCATAAATAAGGGCTGCAGTAAGGAAGACTGATGATCGTAAGTAAAATAGTAACAGAAAAATCAATGCAAAAGCTGAAGACAAGGAGTGGATACCAGTCACCAACCCAGGCTGCCTGGTTAAGGACATAAAGATCAAGTCCATGAAGAGATAAACCTGTTCCTCCTTGCCCATTAAGGAATCTGAGATTACTGACTTTGTCCTGGGCACATCAATAAAGGATGAGGTTCAAAAAATCATGTCAGTGAAGAAGCAGATGGGCTGGCTAGTGGAACAGGTTCAAAGTTTTTGTCACTATTGGGGACTATAATAGTCATGCTGGTCCTGGTGTTAAGTACTCCATAAAGACAGTCACTGGCATTCCAGGGGTCGTCATCTTGGCCAAGCTTTCCATTGCCCCTATATGGAAAGGTACTAGGGGAACAAGACTGGCAAGTCCCATACTATTCTGTAAAAAAGTGACAGGGCTCTGTGGCTCTGTGATGGTGCCTTTCATCACTGCCCCCAGAGGCACTGGAAATCTCTGCTCTTAGGCCCAAGAAGCTACTGATGACGGCTGGTACTGATGACTGCTATACACTGGCCAGGAGTTAAACTGCCACCCCGAACAACTTTGCCAACTCCATCTTTGATCCCATCTCTAAGACCTGCATCTACCTGACCCCCGACCTCTGGAAAAAGACTGTGTTCCCCAAGTCTCCTTATTAGAAATTCACTGACCAACATGTGAAAATCCACATCACAGTCTCAGAGATTCAGAGAAACCAGGTCCACCACATAAAGTTTTCAATACAAGAAAAATAAAGTGAATTATGTCTGTTTAAAACAACTCAAAATCGTGTTAAAATGAACCATTAGATAGAAAGTTCTTTGATCAACATGGGTGCATGTCACAAAACCCAGAATGCAGATATCAACAGCAGACAAAAAATAGGAGAATCCATAAACAGGTGAAAACTGGCACATTGCCTCAGGTTCTTTTCCAACACAAAAAGACAAGGACGTCTGCCTTCTCTCAGTCTCCAAGCAATTCCTCTAACAATCCTATTGCATATTTTACAGAAAGTAATCCTGAAAGTGCCAAGGAAGAGAAAAGCTGTAAAAATACTAAAAAGATCAAACTTAGAGGTGAACTCACAGTATATTACATTTACAGCAATGGAAACCACTTGGAATTGTCATGACAACAGACAGTGGCAGATATGCATGGGAAGATATCACAGATGGAGTTCAACAGTCTGTAAATATACTTCCTGATTCTTATAAAAAACTCTGTTGGCATCAGTTTCGGGAACAAGGAAATTAACACCAAAACGTAGAGAATGTGATAGAATACCAAAAGTTTCAAGATTCTGAAAAAAGGGAATAAATCTAGAAGTCCTAATTTTGATCGTTTTGTAATACATTACAATCACAGACATGAAAACCAACTAATATTGGTATGATGACATGATCAGTAATGTGAAGTAAGGACAGCATCACTCAATATCGTCAAATACAACATTATTTGCCTCCATGTCAATTCTTCCTCAGAGCCTTTTCTTTCCTACACCTACAACAGGATAATCCTAAGGAGATTTTTCTCAGTGGAAACCTCCAGAATTATTTCTAGTGAAAGAAAATGTGACAAAATTGATTTCATGTCCCACTTCCACATTCACTTGAACAACCTGCCATCCCTTCACCAATCCCTCTACCATACCTAGATCCTTAACCACTGCCTCCTCCTGCTCCATCTTCCAGGGTTCTGTGTTCTCCACAGGTGAGCAGGTCTGGGTCATCAGTGAGCCATGCAAGTGACAAAGAGATTGCTCAGGCTGCATGTAGATGTCTAACACAGCACTGTACACAGCAGATAAAGAGAAAATGAAACATGATTATGCAAGTGATTCCCCAATTGTCCTGCAGTGTCAGAATACTGAGAATATTTAGAAAGCATCTTCAGTTAGTGTCACTTGAATCCCACTTTTCGTCACATCTCAGTCAAATCTGAGGGGTAGGAATGGGCATAAACAACTGGAATGTGAATATATACACTAATAAGGTTCTGAATTAATCATGGACCAAAACTGATGGAAGCCTCACACCTCCCAAAGGGACTCACAAGACGAGAGAACACTTCATGAAATTTGTCTCTGTTCCTCTGAGGATTTCACTTTACTCTGTGAGACTCATTCACACACGGGTCACACAATTGCAGACTGGTTTGTCAAGACACCCTGAGGAGGAGCAAGGGAGATGCAAGCAGATAATCCTCACCCTTAGAAACCATACTGCTGCAATTCTGCAACATCGAATCCCAGTACAAAGCCTTCTGAGCAGGCTCCAGGCATTGACCCTCCTCCTGGGAGACGTCCACAGTCACACCACCGGCTGTCAACAGACCACAAAAAAACAAAAACAAAACAACAGTTTGAACTATCCTGTTAGTGGGAGAAAGAGGTGGGTGGATTTCTGAATCTGTTAGTTCTAGTTCAGCCTGGTCTATAAGGTGAGTTCTTGGCCAGACAGAGCAATATAAGAACTACAACAACAACAAAAAACTTAGTCATGTGTCCATGGAAAAAATAGTTTTCTTGATCCAAGCAGACAAAAGACTATATTAATTACCCAAAATGATTTTTTAACATATTGTCCTATAATGCTTGTTCCTTCCTTTCCTTTTTTTTTGGGGGGGGGGGGGCGGTTAAGACAGGGTTTCTTTGTATAGCTATTACTGTCCTTAAACTTGCTCTGCATACCAGGCTGGCAATGCAATCAAGAGCTCCACCTGCCTCTCCCTTTCATGAATAATATCTAAAACCTCTCCGGGAATGTCAATTCCCCAAGTACATGTACCCCTCTCTTGACTAGGTAAGCGGTTTAACACGGAAGTTTGCATGATGAATGTGAATTTCAAGAGCTTTGTCTTATCCACAATAGCAAACACACACACACACACACACACACACACCCGCATTTTGAACTATCAACAGATAAATTCAAATATTCTACTATATTATTTTTATAAGAATATTTTGGCAATCAGAAGATCAATTTTAAAAAACAGGCTTATTTGACATGATCTAAAATATACCACGCGTAAGACATCCACAGCAGAATTTCAGAGCCGGCTTCCATATGAGCGTCAGAGAAACAGCTCGCAGCTCTGGTCCCTTCCCTCCTGGGTCGCAGACCAGCGGCTCCTTTGACCTGGGAGGTTCCAGGGCCGCCGGGCTGCGCCCCCCCCCCACACACACACAGCTGACAACTGACTTTTCCCAGGCTGCCCTGCAGCGACTGCTGCTCCGGGGAGTTTTCGCGTCCTCGCGGCACCCCTCCGCACCCAGGTCTGCACCACGCGGTTCCCCACTGTGCAGGTCCCCGAGCAACAACAGGGAATGCGTACACGTCACTTTTGTCTTTTGCTCCTCCGTATAACTTACCCGACCTCAGCAATGCTCCTTCCCATCTTCAATCAGGTAACTCCTCTAACCCCGCCCAGCGTGCACTTCCTCTACACCTGACCAATGGCAAATGATTTCCTCCAAGCGCTCTTTCCGGTTGAGTGTCTCAGCTCCACTGTGACTGGTCTCTCTTCCTGCACCTCAGGCTGCATTTCACACAGCTCCAGCCCTCAGGATGCCCTGGTCTCGCTCTGCAGCAGCCTCCGTACATGCCAGCCTAGACCAGAACTGTGTCCAGGAGGACGCTACATCCCCCTTCCTCACCATTTTATCCTGAGTTTGACCATTCCGGATTAAAATTGTTCCGTCTAATACCTCATTTTGGGAGTTTAGTTCCTGGTTATAAACTCATAGAAAAAGAGAACCATCACCCCAAATCCTTATGCTCAGCTTCCATAGTCCAAACACAAACTAAGATGAAATATTGCTGCCCCAAAGCACCATTTCCATAGCTGTGGCCAAAGTATAGGAGACCAAAGTAGATGCAATATGAGAAACAGAACACACACACCAGAAGTATATTCAATGAAGTCAAAGTACATAGACGAAGAAAGCCTCTGATGTCAAGGGGGACAGGAACAAAGAAAGTGATTAAGAACAAGCAAACACAAGCAAATGGCTTGTCTTGGAATAGCGAAGACAATTCAGGCTATGAAAACACAACTCAATAAGGAGTTAGAAACACCAAAGAAAATTCAAATGAAAATGAAAAAAGAACTGAACAATACATAATAATCATAACAGTAAATCAACAAAAAACCTCATCACGGGAATAGATCAAGTAGGAGACAGAAAATCAGGGCTTGTAGACAAGGTAAGAGAATCTGCATCACTCTGTCAAATGAAATGATAAATTCAAAAAACAGTCAGATGCTCCATGCAAGTAGGACTAGTAAAATGTGAAAGTGAAATTCCAGCTGCATCTTCTACATTGTGTTGCAGAACTGTCATCAAAGAGAGTATTCCTGGGAAGCTGGACAGTCATTTCATTCATGCTACAAATGAAGTGACGCTAAGAACCACCTTTATCCCACCCTCATAGTTCCCCACTATTAACAGACAAAATTCTGGAATTCCATGGTTAGCCACATCAACTTTAGGTGGGGAAGACGTTTCAGAAACACTGGATTTCGAAAAGAAATAGGTGTCTCTGTAAGTTGCTGGGCTAAACACTGCCTGATTTTAGTGGAATTGCTTTGAGTTTCCCTCCATTTAATTTGATGTTGACTGTTGGCTTGCTGAATTTGCTTTTATTGTGTAGGTATATCCTTGGTATCTCGAATCTCTCCAAGACCTTTATCCTGAAGGAGTGTTGAAGTTGGTCAAAGACTTTTTCAGCATCTAATAAGATGATCATTTATTTTTTTCTTTCAGTTTGTTTATATGGAGTATTACATTGACTGATTTTCGTATGTTGAACCATCCCACCATCTCTGGGTTAAAGCCCTCTTGATTGTGCTGGATGACATTTTTTTGTGTGTTCTTGAATTCGATTTGTATTTTATTGGGTATTTTTGCATCAATGTTCATGACTGAGATTGGTATGATAATTCTCTTTCATCATTGAGTCTTTGAGTAGTTTAGGTATCAGGATTACTGTGGCCTCATAGAAAGAATTTGGATAATGTTTTTTTCTATTTCAATTTTGTGGAATAATTTGAGGAATATTGGTATTAACTTGTGTTTAAAAGTATAGTAGAATCCCGTGCTAAAACCATATGATTCTGGGCTTTTTTTTTAATTGGGAGACTTATAATGGCTGCTTCTGTTTCCTTAGGGGTTCTAGGTCTATTTAAATTGTCTAGCTGACTGGGTAGTGTTTCTGCACACCTTTAATCCCACTACTCAGGAGGCAGAGGCAAGTGGATCTCTTTAAGTTCGAGGCCAGCCTGGTCTACAAGAGGTAGTTCCAGGTTAGCATCCAAACTACAGAGAAACCCTGTCTCAAAAAATAAAATAATAATAATAATAATAATAATAATAATAATAATAATAATAATAATG